TAGGCAAATCCCATGCTATTGAAGCATTCTGCAGTGACGTGATCCCCCTTTGCAACCCCCCCCCCCCCTCCCCCTTTCCTTTCCTTGTCAGATGGTCGGGAAGGTTGCAAATGGGGATCATGTGACTGCAGGATGCTGGCACTGTCATAATTATGAGTCAGTTGCCAATGCCCAAATTGTGAACAAGTAACTGTGGGGACGCTGCGACGGCCGCAACTATCAGGACCTATCGTAAGTCCCCCTTGTTCAGCACTTTGAACAGGTGCGGAACGAGTGGTTGTTCAACAAAGACTACCTGTAAAAGCAAAAAAAGATAAATGGAATGGACTTCACATTCCCCAGATTTGAGTATTACTGAAAATCTGTGTGGAGATCTCAAACATGCAGCACATGCAAGTTTTCTGAGCTAGAAAAGTTCTACGAGGAAGGGTGGGGAAAAACCCAAAAGAATGAATAAAAATATTCTTAGCTGGCTATAGGAAACATCTGGATATAGTTATTTCTGGAGGTGTTAGAAAATATTAACTGCAAGGTGTCCAAACTTTTGCCTTTGCCATATTCATGATTTTCTTATTTTGAATCTACAGACAACTGCACATAAATAGTAATTATGCACTCAAAATTACAGATAGATGTTTAATTTTGAACCATGTAGAGGTTATGTCAGCTTCTCTTCACTTAGGGATTAATTTAAACTATTTGAGGAGGAATGTCTAAACTTTACCACACAATTATATGTGCATGTTAAAAAATGATATTTTTTTAAAAAGGCAGTAAAACGAATAAATAAAACCTTCTTGCATAGCCTAATATGGTATGATTTCTGGATGATCCAAGCATAGTTTTATACCTGTAACATTTAATCATTAGTCAAATAAAATAAGCAAAACACTAAAGATACTAGAATAGGAAGGCAAATATCTTGGTTAGCTTTATAAATGTTCCATGAAAAAGATTTATTAAGGCATAGGGTCACCTTCAAGAAATTATGACAAACTGAGCCACATATAAAATTTCCTTAAAAAAAACAAAAAACAAAAAAGGCAATCTTTTACATTTTTAAGACATCTCCTTCCTAAAAATGCATTCGCTTGGAGCATGAAATAAAATCTGATGTCCCTCTCCGAAAGAAAAGAAGACAAAACAAAACAGACTTACATAGAACTCAGACACATTTTTCCCTCCAACAGTTAGAGCGGGAGATTTTCCATCAAATTCTTCTTTAGGTGTATACTTTAAAACATGGCAGTCTTGAACCTACAACAAATGATTCAGGGTTATCACATATTTGTTTTTCTATATGAAGTAATCCCAAAGTATGGTTCATGGGGAAGAAAAGGCAATTAGGTTTAACTCCTAAACTTCCATTTTATTTTTGGCTTCAATGAAGCTCCTGTTTTACATCCACCTCTAGATGGTAAGGTGTGAGATTCTATTCTGGTGTGTTTATGTGTGTGAGGTATGTTTATTTATTTATATGACTGCCATCTTAGATACATAACTCTAGTCAGCAAGCAATCCTAAAAACAACATAAAAACCCTGCAACCAATTAAAATAATTCAATAAACAAAGAAAAAAAATTGAGGCACTATACAGCAATTCCATGGAAACAAACATATGTATAATAGACTCCCTCAACATCTTGGCCCTAATGTCTGGGGGGGGGGGGAAATCAGGTTTTAACAGCCCTCCAGGAGGCCAAGAGTTTGTAGCTCTCTTTCCAACCTAGAATCTAAAGGAGTTAATGTTGGGAATGCTTGGTTTGTTTAAAACAGTAAGATATAAATCCTGCTTGAGATATGATGCTGTTTTCTTTTTGGCAAATTCCTAAACATTATAGTGCTTCCATGATGGAAACCAAGCTGGAGCTATCAGGCAGCATCCATGAGCACACTGTGAACAACCACCAGCATTTCAACTTTTATGCAAATCCAACCACTGTCTATTCTAAAAGTACTGTTTTACCTGGTTGGAATATGTAGGTTACTCTATTACTAAATTTATTCTTGCAAGCTGGAGGTTTTTATATTGAAATTTGTATGTGTAGTGCAATTTGTAATAAATTAAATATAACTATTATGTATTCTCTTTTGCCTTACCTGAAGCATTGTGACAGGTATTTTTTTACCCTCCTTGGTCCATAACGGCATCATTCCCAACTTTACTGCAATAACACCGACTCTTCTAGAACCTGTGGATAAAAGAATGAAACAGTCCTTTCTTAAATTTCAAACCTACTGGAGTTCAGGAAGTCATGGCAGATTAATACTTACGCCAGTTCACAGCATGTACGGATCCTACAAACAGCAACTTGCTATGTGGTTGCGCCTTCTCTGTAGCAGCGCCTGTTCTCTGGAACGAGAATGATCCGGATGGCCCCCATTCTGCTATTGTTTAGAAGAGGCATGAAGACCTGGCTCTTCACCCAGACCTTTGGTGAGGGAGAGGGAGATCCCTCGCTTCCTTCCATCTGGTCTGTCATACTTGCCATCTTTTATCTTTATCTTTTATCTTTTATTGATTTTAGTGTAATTTCTTTGTTTGATTGTTGTGGGGTGCCCAAAGTCATTGAGAGTCAGGCAGCAGACACATTTAATAAATTATTATAATGGAGATGTGCATGAGAATCCTGCATGCCACAGACTTGCACATTAAGTACTTACAGAAATACTTTTATTTGACTTACATACCAACATAATTGGCATAGACTTCTGGCAATTATTATAAAATATACAAACTTTTCAGAGTAGAGTAGAGGAACAGAATCAGTTAACTGCCTGCGATGCAATTCCAGTGGACCTAACCCATTTGTTTGAAGTACAGTTTTGGTTAAAGAATTAGATATATATCCAATCAAATATATGCAGAATAGTTACTTTACTTTAGCTCTTCATCATATTGTATACCAACCTGGCTCCCATGGGTGCAGAGGCCAAGGTTCATCTTTCAGAGGACAAAGTTTACTAGCAATTTGAGCTTTATGTTCTTCTGTTGAAAGTTTCTTAAGGAACTCAGCATTTTCTTCTGAAAGATGCTCATCCCACCATGTGGTATTATAAATAATATGCCGAACTGTGACCAACCATAGGCCCCTACCAAAGAGATGAAAAATGGGTTCAGAATAATACACGTTTGCATTTTCAAACCTCCAGTGCAGTAACCTTGACTTGCTATTTTTATTATGCCCAAGCTATCAATAATAAAGAAAGGTTCAGGAAATAATTGTCATAATTCACGATTGGAAAACATTTGCAGTCTATGCCCCCCCCCCAAAAAAGATATAGCTGGGGTGGGCTAGGATCTGAAAGCAATTGTTATTAGTTTACATTGAAATACACAACATTTTTAGTTTGAAGGCAGCCCCTGGATTTTAATTGAAATGTTAGGGCAGCAGTTCTTAAAAGGGGGGTAATTTGGGCATAGCCTGGGGGTAAAGGAGCAATTTGTAATTGCTTGTTTGTGAGTCAAGGATCCAGTTTGGGACTGCTGCTGCCAACATGCTCATGTAAAACAAGAGTCAGTCTTTTTGGGAGGGAGGGGGAAATACCATTATTCAAGACTGGGAAAAAGAGTAACTGGGTCCAACAATTTAAGAACTACTCTGCTAGGGGCTGCATTCCAAAAAGTAAGCAGGATTAGAAAAAATAAATGGACGTAGCAAGATCAAATGTAGATCTGATTCTATGTAATTGAATTTTAATTAAAACAAAATAGAATTAAATACAGGTAATTAGATCACTCCCCATATACTAATAATTCCTCACCATTCTAGAAGTCATAAACGGTTTTGGAACCTTTTGATCCTAGGAGGCCTTAGATGTGTGCATCTTTTGCTTAAATGAACTGAACCACAGAACTGATTATTAACAGAGCATTCAACTGGCAGCCTTGAAATAAAACTGAGGTAGCAAATTCATAATTGCTAAACATTCAGATACTGTAAACATAATTCTTAAAACACCATGCTATAATATTTCATGAAACTGATGGCAGGCAGAGTAGGAACAGGATGCAATACAGAATACCGAGTATCTTATTCATGAACTCTTGCATTAGATCTTTTCAGTATGTGGACAATGCCATATTTGGAAAATGAGGAATGAGGCTCCTCAACTCTATCTGCTGCAGGTCTGCAACCTGAGAATGAAGTGGTATACAAAGAGAAAGTGTATATGTGTGAGGAGAGCCAGTTTGGTGTACTATTTTATTTATTTATTTATCAAATTTATATAGCCGCCATCTCACCAGAAGTGACACTGGGTGGCATATACAACAATCAAATAAAACCACAATATAAAAACAAACATTATAAAACACTCATTATAAAAATATAAACAATCCTTATTAAAAATAAAAACATCATTAAAAATTAGAATATACAAACCACAAAATGGAGAAAGAAATATAATAATCACATATCACCCACAATAGGGGAGCCACCTTAAAATGTTGGTTCCCTGGGACCCCCAAGCCTAGCGACATAACCAGGTCTTGAGGACCTTCCTGAATATTAAAAGGGATGGAGCTAACCTAACTTTGGGGGGAAGTATGTTCCATAAGGCGGGCACCATGGCAGAGAAGGCCCATCTCCTGGGACCCATCGAAAGTAGGTCCCTTGCAGATGGAACCCATAGCATGCCCTCTCTGCCCGATCTAATGGGATGGGTTGATGTAATTGGGAGAGGCAGTCCCTCAGATAACCTGGTCCCATGCCATGAAGGGCTTTAAAGGTCAAAACCAGAACATTGAATTAGACTCGGAAACAAACTGGCAACCAATGCAACTTGCAGAGCAGAGGTGGGACATGTACTATAGTGGTTAAAAAGAAACCAGAAGTCAGCAACCAGTGACTGGAGGTATGCAGTTGTTACTTCACACAGTAAGCAACTGGAGTTGAGGTGTTTGCCTACAATGAAATTAATAGCAGTGGGCAAACCAGACAGCTCTACATGAGCCAGTACATGTCAGAAATCACTATTTCTGATGCATAGTCAAAAAGTGGAGGTTGTTTTCATGGTGGACTGAAAGAGGGTGGGGTGGAGGATGACACTGCGCATTCTTGCTCTCAGGAAATGGTCAGGGGCTGTATTTGGAGCAAGCTGGTCATACAAATCAGCCCTAAGTTTTCCCCTCACTATTGTGTGTGTATGTGTGTGCGCGCGCATGCGCTTTTGAATCAGTCTTGACTCTTTGGGACTTCTTGGACAAGTCCCTGAATTTTTCTTGGCAAAATTTTCAGAAGTGGTTTGCTGTTGCCATCTTCTTAGAGCTGGGAGAGAGTGACTGGCCCAAAGTTACCTAGACGGCTTTCATGCCTAAGGGAGACCTAGAACTCAGTGTCTCCTGGTTTCTAGGCCAGCACCGTAACCGCTACACCAAACTGGCTCTCATTATTTAAAAAAATAATAATAATGAGCTCATTGATGGAACAGTAGAACAGGAAAAGATGTACTTTTTTTTAGAAAAACAGGTGAAATTGACAAGAGTTTCTCCTATAGTCCAACTGACCAAAATGGCATATGTCTTTTTTTTTTTTTTTTTAACTGGTCCAAGATGCACCATGTAAATATAGTCCAGACAGAACATCATGCCCTCACTATAGCCAAAGTGGAGGAAGGGGTTGATTTTGAAAAGGGATTTCTTAAGCCAGCTTTATTTCAAGCCACTTGACTCATGGGCATCTGGGAATTTAAGGTTGCAGCATGGAAAAACTTTTAGTGAGGGATACACATGTATCAGACTGAAAAATGGAGAAGTTGCAGCACTACGAAAGAGTCAGCCATACTGGTATAAACAAAAGTCCTTCAAATATATATATATCAACATGCTGAGAAACCACTGTTCCATTTGGGTGAATAGGGAGACCCTATCCCACTTTATATGGGGTAAAAGTTTAGGCTGCATCATTTATGAACTGTGTAACTTTTCTCCACTTGTCTATATCAATATGCCTTTTCATTAAATCATCTCATGTTGCCAACTTTTACAAATTTCCAGCAAGCAACAGAGATAAATATGTAAACCAGGTTATAAGGGCTAATTTCCTGGAAATCGGTTTCAGTTTCCTGCTACCTAGATCATGCGAATCCTTAAAATGCACTCTTGCAAATTCATCTAATCCTTTACTCTCTCCACGAATACAATCCCAACGAAAAGGCATGGGAGGGGGATCACAGAGGGGAGAGAAAAGAGGAAGACTAATTTTATAGCATTACAGGCAACGCTACTCGGGGAATAGCACTGACCCAGAAGGACTGATGAATCAACCCTGCTCAAAAGCCTTTCTCTGAACTCTTGTCTCCAAATTAAAACTGTCCCCACCCCGCCTGCTCACGTGCATCTCCTGAAAGTAGAAAAGCTTTAAACACTCACGAAGAGACAAGTGGTTATCACCTGTTGGATTTCTATCTTTCTTATCATTGTTAAGCGAACGGGAGACCAGGGGGAGGGGGAGCTATTATGCAAACAAAAGGATACCCAGGAAGAGTTACACGTGTAGCACAACAATCCTACCTCCCCTCGGCAGACTTACCGCCCTCTAGGTCCAACTTCCGCAGCCTCCGCTGTCCCGGGAATTGAACCAAGGATGCCTCCAGGTACCAACCGCCGCAATCCTACGCGACACAGCAGCCCAACTCCCGGCATGATCCTACATCAAATAACCCGTCAAAACAGCGTTCGACCGAGAAAATCTTCCCCGCAGTCCCCGTTCTTAAGTTCCGGAAATATTTCATTCCTACTTACTCCACTCACAGAAAAAGGCGGAGCTTATGCTAAGTCCATAGAATCGCGGAGGCCAGAGAGGCCGCTGTATCTCGGGCAAAGGAGGAACAGGGTGGGTCAGACTAGTGGCCTCTACCGAGAGAAACCCGTCACTGCACGACGGGCGGTGTTAACGCAGTTCAGCCCTGCTTTAAAAAAAACGACTTACAGAAGAGCTGAAGTTTGCTGATTTAACCTCGTTTCTTAACTGTCCCAAGTAGACCTCTACAAAACCCACAAACAGCACAAGAAGGAAACAAGCTTCTCTCCGCAGCTGATACTGAGGATCTTTTGATCTTATATCACTTTATAGATCTGGATACTGTATATATTGTAGTCCAGAGTTTCTTAAACTTGTTGCTCTCAAGATCCCTTCCCACTTTTAAAAATTATGGAGGACCCCAAAAGAACTTTTATTTCCATGGGTTATATTTATTTATATTTACCATATTAAAAATTAGAATTGACACATTTGTAGAATATTTATTGAATCATATAAAATGACAATATTAAACCCATTAGGTATTAACATAATAAAATATTTTTCATGAAAAAACTATATTTTTAACAAATAAAAAAATATAAGAATGGCATCCAAATATCTTCAATATCTGGCAAATAATTTTTGATTTTGTGGACCCTTGAGAGAGTCATGGGGGACTCCCAGAGTCCTCAGACCACACTTTGAGAAATACAGCTGTAGGGAATATGGATCTATCTGCCATATAAGTCTGTTAAATCAAAATTGCACAATAGTGCTAGACTGCTCAACAACCCCTATTCTTAGCGCTTTAATTCTATAGACCTGTGTTTCTCTAGCGTGCTGGCTAGAAAATTCTGGGAGTTGAACTCCACACAACTTCAAGTTGCCAAGGTTGAGAAACACTTCTATAGACTTTACCATTTTAGCGAAGGCTGAAACAGTGGAATGACAACACCAAGTCCCTTCCTATTGGCTCCCTAACACAGAAAAGAGGAATCTGGATATTTATTTGTTTGTTCATTTGATTTCTCCCCTGCCCATCTCCCCCCAGTAGGGGACTCTGGGCGACTCACACAAAT